GATTGATTATTCCAGAGAGGCATATTTTATCAGAGTTTCTTGATTCTATTTAGTCAAGAAAATAATAGTTAGATGTAAATTATCATGCTTCTGTTATCGAAACAAGGCTTGATCTAATCCTCTTTATGTTCGTTTTTTATATTTCTATTTTGCTGCAAATAAACATGGCGAAATTCATACAAATATAATCCATACTTTTAGCGGTTCTACAATAATAATCTCTACCGAAGATGAATATATAAATAATCCATACTCATAAACACGTCTACATAGATAGATTAGATTAATCTTTTTTATATTTAATATATAAGGTTACAATATTAACTTTGTTCTTCATTGTCATACATCTGAGTTTAGTGTTTTTTATATCATTACTATAATTTTCTTGAAGGATAATAATCTATCTATGAAGGTTTAATCTATCTATGTAGACACATTTACGAGTTTGGATTATTTGTATTGACTTTTTCAGTAGAGATTATTGTTGTAGAACCACTAAAAGTACGGATTATTGGTATGAATTTCACCCATAAACATTTGTTATTCGGTTTAAATCTCATATACTCTTTTGTCTCTAACATCTCCGTTTTTATATAGATTTTAGTATTATAATGATTTAGATATTGCCATTGCGTGCAGGAAGTGTCTCTTCATGAAACCATGGTATCCATCTCCATATTTGATCTAGATAGTGCATCTTTTGTTGCTTGGACAACAACTCCGTGAACACTCCTCAAAAACCTAAGCCGCATATGGTAGAATAATAAAAACAGGAAGCCAAGTCTAATAACCACACGCTAGCTTAGACTCTTCCGTCTAACAGGAGGAACTGATACTAACTAAAAATTCAAAGAAATCCAAACTCCTTTAAAATGTTTACCCTTCTATTGCTGCGCGTAAGCTCCCATTGGGGTATCCACAGAGTTTAAATATTTCTCGGGTAGGTACGATTGTCCAATAGTCTATCTGGGCCGGGAGAGAATGGCTTGCTTAGATCAGCCTATGTTCAACCAAAAGATTGGATAACTCTTGGAAAAATGTTGACTTCAAGTTGTATTCACTACACAAGTTGTTGCCCTGTCCTTGATGCATGTAAAAAAAAAACATTAGAACGAATATTGATTCTTTCTTGCCCTGGTTGTATACTTGTACCATACAAAGCTGATAGCTAATGGAAAACACAATGCATGTTTAATGTGTGCCTTGTGCATCCCGAGTCCTGTCCGACCCTGTTTGAGAGGCTAGTGTATGTCTTTATCCTTTTAATAATCCTACAAATTTTCATCTTCCAGGAAGTGTAATCAAGACTCTCAATAACCTATGGTGCACTTTTCTGTTGAAGCACAACGTATACGGATTACATCAGGATGGGATGGAACCCATTCATTTATAACAACCAATAACATCACTCTTATTCTTTTTGAAAAAAATGAAAAGTACTCCATATAAAACCTAATTTAGTCACACAAAGCGCGTAAAAAATCTTTGGTGGGAAGAACTCCGCCAACAATAGTTGCCAACTTGCCAAAAGTGATTTTGATTTTTTAAATATAGTTGTCTAAAGCTTGTCATAATTTTTTTGCAATTGGCATTTGCTATTAAATAGTCATTAAGGAATCAGTGCTGTTAATTTTTAAAAAATTGTCAAATAGATCTTTTTATTATTTCCAATTCATCACTTAAGTTCTATTAACAAAAGTATCATATAAGTGTGCTTACTTTTAAATGCAATCAAATAAGCCACTTTGACTTGTTATAGCAAATTATTTTTTAAAATATTAATTAAGAGTATTGATAAATCTTTATAAAAATTCATATAAATTTGAAAAGTAATATAATAATAATATAAAATATACGTAGTAGTAGAAATGTAAAAATAGATAAATAATTCTAAAATGTTGAATGAAGAATAAACAAATATTGTATTCAAAAGTGAATATTTTATTGTTTATGATTATCAATAAATAACAAACTACGTATTCAAATATTGTATTCATATTATTCATATATTCGCTCAACCTAAACCGAGGAATTAAAGTCCTACAATAATCTTGGGCATTACCACGAACGCGCAACGCGCGTTACTAAACTAGTAATCTAATACAGGGTCAGCCGAGGGTACAACCATTAAAACCTTCAGGCCTAGGAAACAAAAATAGGTGATATGTTTATGTAGTTCGTATAAGACAATGATATATGTAGGGAAGTCGTTTTAGAAGAGCTAAAGCAGTGAATTTATTCAAATTGACTTGAAAGTGAATATTTGAACATGAAACATTTTAAGATAAATTTAGAGACAAAAATAACTTTTAACATTTTAGAATAGCTAAAGTTGCGAATTTATTCAAATTGACTAAAAAAATGTATATTAACTTTTAAATTTAGGTATAGTGGCGGAGCCAGAAAAACATCAAAATTTAATTATGCTCGGTACATGAAAGATTGGATCACTTTGAGACAATATTTGAGCTCAAATAATTCATGTATAGGTGAAACGAATGTCGGTTCTGTAAGGTGTTAGAGACTGTATAATCAAGCTCATTCCGTTGATCCAACTCGGCGAGGAGTTGGACGGGGCTCCGGGGACAGTAGCCCTCGATCCGAAGGAGGGGGTCCGGGGGCGGTAGACCCTGGGCAAATTTTTTTGGGTCCTTTTTTATGTGGACCGCGAGTTATTTCGTTGCTGGGTTAGGCTTTGTTCTCTATAAATACATGCTCTCTCCTTATAATCATTGTCAGAAAGTAATAGAAACATTCTGGCTTGGTAGCGCCCCAGACGTAGTCCTTTGTGGCGAATTGGGTTACCAAATTCGTGTGTCTATGTTATTATCTTTCGTATTGTGTTGCGTTTAATTCCTAACAGGTTCCAATAAGAAATAAAGAGTTATTGATTATCTATATTATAAAATCATATAGTTAATGTTGAGTGAATGCGTGGTTATTTTAAAAAAATAGAAACTATAACGAATGTAGTGCATCAAGTTTTACCCATTTTAAGTTTAAATGATGTTGATTTTCTAGTAGTCATGAATTTTTACTTGTAATAATTTACAAGAGCTATATTATTTTAAATGGATATATCAGTGCTCTACGTGCTCAATCTTTTAAAGGGGTCGTGCCCACCCTAACCACCTTGGCTTTGCCTATGATCATCTACAAAAGTAATTCAGATAGTTTAAAGCTACAATTAATGGGACGAGATATAAAACTGAAAAGTTCTAAAGGAGCATAACAATTTGTTAGCCCCACAGCGATAGAAACCTCTTTATCAGTACAGAAGTTTTTTGATATTAAAATAACTAGACAGAGTGTATTTTTCAAAATAATTACTAGTAGTTTGTACAAAAAAGAAAATTAACATAGTGATAAAAATTGTAAACCACAGTTAAAATGAGATAATGAAACTCTATAAATCAATAATTGAAAATTGTGTAATACTAAAATTATATCGCAACATAAGATACATTGAAGTAGAAGACTCCATGCTATGTATGGAATTGGATAATTTTCTATACACAACATTTATTTCCAAACACATGAACTCTCATCATTTGGAGTTAGAACTTTGATATCACTATTGTTCATAACGTTAGACAATAGACATAGCAACACAAAAATTGGTTTCACCATCCTCATAAGGAAACAATAGACGATCTAGTTCTGGCATCAAAGAGAGATAGCTTGAAACCTCAATTTGACTAGTTACTGAGAAGAAATTGTCAATATCGATTGAATTAGCCATTGAAAAGAAATCAAATCGAGTATTGTCTTTTTCTCATAACATAGTGGTGATTTAGGAGGAAGATGAAAGATGTCTGAAGTTAACCTTCCCAAATAATTAAACGAGACAAGCATTGTCGATCACTAACAATAAAATTTCAACACACTCAGTTTCACTATTGAAAAATACACAAAACTTTATACAATGTCCAAAAGGAACTATAAAAAAACTCAAAAATACTGAATAAGAAGATCATTTTTCAACTTTAGGAGAAGAAAAACTATAGGAGAAGAAATATTCATGGCAATTATTTTTTAGAATTAGAATTTCCAATCACCAATTCTGATTCCCTTTCCTATACAACAAAATGAGACTTTAAACAAAATTGGAGTTGTGATTTGTGAAGATGAGAGCTTGTAATTTTGTATTCCCAATTCATTTTCAATTATCCTTGAAATTAGGGGTGGGCAAAAATACCGAACCGGCATGATACCGAACCGGACCGGTATGGTACCGGACCGATAAACGGGGTTTGAAACGGATCTCAAATTTTTTTTTCCCGAACCGGACCGAACCGGTTCCAAACAATGTCATGACCGGTTCTCATAAAATGAGAACCGGTACCGGACCGAACCGGACCGAACTATGGTTTATTAAATTTGTACTACTATAATTTATCTAAAATATATTAATTACCTCATCCATCCCAAATTGATTTGCAAAGCCAACATTTTTTGTCAAAGTTAATGTTAAGTTCTTGATAATTAATACAATTTTTAATAATTAAAATTTACATATTTAGAAACCACATTAAAATCTCTCTAAAGTTGCAAAATCCAAATTAAAATATATGAAGTACGGAGTAGTTTTTTTGAAAGGCTAAATTAGAATATAATTAAAAAGTGAAATTCTAATTAAGTGAATAAAAAGAAATTGTTTGACCAAAAAAGATTGACTTTGCAAATCAATTTGGAACGAAGGTAGTATGATATATGAAAATTGATAAATTGTGTGGATTTTTTGGAGGATGGTTAAACTTTAATTTTTTCTTAAACACCTGGAAAAAGTGGCAATGTTTGGTATTGGTATGGCATGGTACCGTCCCGTTTGAAAATGGACCATACTGAACGGGTTTGAGTCTAAGACCGAACCATACCGAACCGTTTCAATAGTAACGGTACGGGTACGGATTTGGCCAAATATTGGACCGGACCGGACCGTGCCCACCCCTACTTGAAATCCCACAAAAAAACATCTACATTTGAAATGTATCAGTATACTCGTATTCGTCTTTTTGCCGCCATCCGTCACTTTTCAGATTCAAATTTTCACCAGCAGAGAGCTAACTGAGGCATGCTTCCTGTACACCTTTTCCCCCAATGCATATTTAGGTCGCCGTTTTCAAATTTTCCGAAACAAACATAAAGTGTAGCCAAGCATAAGGAGACCATCTTGCAGATCGGGGACTTGGAATCCTCATTCGGTGCCTATCAAAGAGATTGTTGTTGATTGTAATATCGATATTTACGAGCTCCACTTTGACCTTCATAAGCATACGTTTTTTCATTTACGGTTTCAAAATGCTAAGAATTCCGGTTGCTCCTGCCTCATGAGTTCAGATTGACATTGCTTTGAAACTTACTAACGATCTGTGCGAACTGCTCGACTTTTTCTGATTAAGGCACTTCTCCAATAGTCCAATCTCCATGCAGCTTTGGTGATCATTTCTATTTTTAAGTGTGTCTGTTCAGCTCTCTTATGGTTTGTTTGTTTTCCTTAGAACGAATTATATTTTCAATGTAATATGCCAACAAGCACGGTTCATTTGAGACTTAGAGGTGTTAGTTTTGTCAGTTGGAGTAAATTTTTTATAGCTATGTTCATTGTTCTTTTGATACTTCTGCATTAACGATTGATGACTACAACAAATAAGTGTTATTTGAGGATATTCAGCAATTCAGATAGGGTAACTTCTCTCAGTAAATAACAGAATGCCATATAAATTTTCAACACATTGAGCATGCCTTGATGTTGTTTTGATTAGCTTCGTGTCTCTCAGTTCTTGCTATCTTTATGTAACATGGATTGTTGTTCCTAGCATTCAATTGCTGGCTTATTTATTTACTTACTACGTATTTATTTATCAGGATCCATTAGACAAAATAAGTTGTGTCATATATTTCGGAGGTTGAAATGAGGTGCAATGCATGCTGGATAGAATTGGAAGGGCAAGCCATCTCCACCACATGTGGTCACATCTTCTGTATCCAAGTCACATGTGTCTGTACTCACACGCTCACATATGTATCCATGCCTCAATTTATGCATTGAGACTCGTCGTCTGTATAGATTTCCTTAAACCATACTATTAGGTACAGAAGATGCCGATAAAATTCTCAGTACTGATGCTGCTTGCCCTATATGTAGTCAAGTCCTCTCTAAAAGGCAGGTTCTTATACTTGATTTGTAATAAATGCAGATAATTCTTTGATTGTTGTGTTTTATCATTTTTGCAAACTTACAAGTACTTAAAGGAATGCTCATTTTTCCCACCTTCATGCTATATGATTGTTCTGATAAGTTTGGATTGGGTCTTTTATTTTTAACTTGATGCAATTTTTTTATCCTCAGTCTCATGAAGCCTGTAGATATCAACCCAAGTGAAGATTGGATAAATGTAAGAAAACTTTATGAAAGAGATCCTTTTTTCATTCATCAGTTTTATCATCATCCTTCAAATGCTTGCATGCGCTTTCAACATTTATGTTTCTTACGGGCTACTGGACTTGTTCTAAGATATCCCATTTGATCAGATTGTTCAGTTACATCATTTTATAAGTATCTATGTGGATTGTCATCACGTCTGTAACTCTATCCAGTATCATTTTTTTCTATTTTATAAGCCATCAGATCCAAAATACCCCTGAAGTTCTGATTCCCTTTCACTCTGATGCAGATGGCCATTGTTGGGGTGGCACCGCAAATATGTATCCTTATACTTTGGAATGACTTATTTTAAAGAATAAGTACTTTTTATAAGAAGAAAGTGCTTTTACTTGGATAAGATGCTTTTGCCAATGAAATAAAAAAGTTTTTAAAGCTGGAAAAATCTCACTTTTGTGATTTTAAAAAAGCAATGGATCGGTGCTTTTTGAAAAGAGAAGTACTTTTAATGCTTAGATCAGAAAGCACTTCTTATAAAAGTATATGTCATCCTAAAGAGGCTTTTTGTTTCAATTGTTGCTTGCGTGCCTCACAGCTTCTCTTTATCAAATTCAATATTTCAGATATTTTATCTATCTTTGACTATGATCAGTGATGGAGAGTGCTTATAGAAGTGTGGCGTTCTACATTGGACAAAAGGAATTGGAAATGGAATCTAAAATGAACAGGATTGTAACTCAGTGCAGGCAGAAATGTGAGGTCATGGAACAACAATTCTCTGAAAAGTTGGAACAAATGCAAACGGCATATCAGAAGATGTCTAAGAGGTGCCAAATGATGGAACAAGAGGTTGAGAATTTGTCTAGAGACAAGAAAGAGCTTCAAGAAAAGTTTGCTGAAAAAACCAGGCGGGGTTTTTATGTTCAGCAGTATATTATCATTAAGCATATACATATTTGTATATCTGTTTGCTAACTAGCGACTTGCTTACTGTACTGGCAGACAAAGGAGAAAACTTGAAGAGATGTACGATGAATTGAGCAGCGAATATGGATCAGTAAAGCGGGCAGCCATTCGTCCTGCTCCTAAGTGTTATTCAAGAATGAACCCTAATAATCTCTTCTCAAATCCTGCTAATATGACACATTACAGAGATCATATCAGAAAAGGTAACTCCTTTCTGTTTCAAGATGCTGACATTAGTATTCCGTTCTGTTTCAGCGTACTACTTCTAGTTATGTGATACATATATCGTTAAAGACTAGTTGAATTATATTTCATGCAGAGTGGTCAGTTTCAACTCCTGACACACCTGGGCCCAGAGAAGGTATATGGCCACCTCCAGCAAGACAAAATACTAGTGACTCTGGCCCCTATGAGATATCAAGTGACTCCGCCGCAAAACAACCAGGAATTTCAATGGATGGTGGAAACACCACTGGTGCTCGTCCAGTGTTTGGCCTTGAAACTGTGGGTAGCAACCCTTCAATGATCATCAGAAACCTCATCATTTCACCGATAAAGAGGCCTAATATAGGTCTCCGCCAACTCCAACTATCCTCATAAATCTCTACTTTACATGTGACATCCCTGTCTTTAAACTTCACCCAATAACAATTATACTCTGTAATAGTTATAACAATGATAACGATGATGAACATAATAGTAAATAATATTAATGATAAAAATAATGATATTAATAATAAAAAATAATTATAATCTATTGCCTCTCACAAAAACACTTTAAACAAAGCTATTTTATGATATTTTTATTGATTTATTGTTCTTTCACAAATAGAAAGGTGTGTGACGCCCTAAGAAAAGTTCCTAGAATCTGCTCTGTTTTTTGAACGAACAAAAACATAACAAAAAGGCTTATGCAATTGTAGCATACTTGAAATTCCACTTCTGTAGTTCTGTATGCATAATTGCATATATTTGGACATTTGGAGGTGCAGTTGATATGCAGATACTATTATTACACAGGAAAATACATAAATGAAATGATATTTTACCTGGTTTAGTTTTGCTACTCTAGCCTATTAGTCAATATTGTCCCCAACTTCTATTATGGACTTGATTCGGTCATTAAATATGCATTTTGGGGGCTACATATCTAAATTAAAACCCAAAAGAATGTCCAAAACCATATTGAGTAATATTGTGCAATCAAGTGACTAAACAAGGCATTAGCTCCATTAAATATCCAACGTGTCGAGAAATAATAAAATTGGATGGAATAGCAGAATGCAGAAAATTATGCTTCTATTATATAGAATTGATTTTGTCATTAAGAATATTATCCACATGACACATCTCATGATAACAAATGTTTAGGCAAAAAGACTTTCAAAATGGGAGCAGCAGGAGATAGTGCAACTATATCCCCAAGCTGGAGATGACAAACGGCATGGGACCCATCAACGCATATCATTCCCTCTTTACATTGCCACTGAATCTCCATCAGCTCATTTGGCTTTATAATTCCGTGCATGAATCCACGATTTACACCAGGAGAAATGGGTTCCCTCACAATATATTGGAGGTCCTTTGACAGAATAGGCATAGCAAATCCACCTGCGGATAGCATAGCTGCCGTTGATCCAGCTGCCGTTGACACTCTCAAACCACTTGATCTGCAGTTGACCAAAGGGGAACATGGCAATCCCACTTTTTTTATTCTGTTCAGCATTAAGAGAACTGGTCAAACTAGTTTTGTCTTTACACACCACCACATAGGCACAAATAACCTATCTGTAATGCTTGCCTGAATGAGAATCTTGAAACTGTGGCAGGACTAAGTTCGGCAACTAAAACGTCATTAAGAGCATAAGTTGGCAGGTTTTGGGAGTTGAGAGAAATTAACATCCTCGACACTTCAGAAGGCTTGGAACGGTTCTCAAGAATATCATCCAATACCTGCATTCAAGATATTTATTTAAAAAAAAAGGATAAACAATTTTCATTGATTTGAGTATGCCTGATACCCTGTAAGGATTGTAACAAATATCCCCCAGTCCCAAAATATGATTTTTGTTCTGCCTTTTGTCCAAAATGAGAGTCATATTTGATCAAACAGAAACAAGATAATCATTAATACCAATTAAGCCAAACAAACAACCAATTTTCTTTAGTAGAATTCCATAACTTTAAAGAGTACTACCCAGTTAAAATTGAAATCTTGTACTTTGATTAGACATGACTTTTCACTTTTGGAATGCCCATTATAATGATCAACAGTCAAATACTCCGTATAAATTTACAAGCAAACATATAGAGTTTTTGGACTACTCCTTGACTACTTTTACTTGATCTTTAGGATGGAAATCCAAGTCATGAAAACCAACCGTCGAAAGCCAAAAAAGAGAAGATACTTTGGAGTAAATGGTATTACTTCTTCAAAGTTATCAACAGTGGCAGCACAAAGATAGCCGGTGCTCCTTGTAGCATCAAAATCTTCTTTGAATTCTTCCACCTGCTCGGAACGACAAGCTTATGTAGCGAAAAGGTCATCGAGAGATGAAATTACAAAAACAATCAAAAGGCTTAATAAATGATAACAAAATCCATGGACTCCTTGTGAATATCAAATCAGAAACTGACCTCTGTTGGTTGAGTTGGATCAGAGTTCACTCCAAGAACAGGAACTGTATCATCCAAAAAATGGCTTGCCTGTAATAATGTGCCATCGCCACCAATGGTAAGAACTAGATCCACATCGCGGACTGGCTGGGACAACTCATGACGGGAGACAGAGACGCAGTCAATAAACTTTTTCCTCAACACATTCTGGCAGAAACTTATAGCATCTCTATGAACTAGTCGCCTGTTATCTAGATGTTTAAGTATCTGCAGTTAATTGAGCAATGCCATCGAAATACAAGTTAGCCCCGTTTGGTCATTGTTATTTAACCAAAATGGCTGCTGAATTTTCTGAAAGAAAAAAAGTTTTATAACACCGATTTCAGCCAAATGAGTAAGTAGAGCTACCAAACAGCGCATGTTTATTACTTTAGGTTCCACAAACGTGAGGGATTTATGAAACATATGGTATAATTCAATTAGCTGATTCTCACAAAACCCACTTTAGTAAAGAACTCTAACTCTGGGGATTTCCGAATTCCCACCCACATAGCTTTGGCATATTGTCAAACACGTAATGAATGCACACATATTTACGCAAAAGCTTGACGGTGAAGCTGAAAGGGGTTCGTCGATGAGTTTGAATTTTTTGGCATATATGGAATTACCTTAGGGTTCGTGAAGTGTGAAGTGAGATGGCCATTGGAGTAGTGCGATGGGTACACGTCAAGAGGTTTCAGCAACAACAAAAATCTCCTCCTCGCCATTGTTGAATTGTGAGTACTTTCTTCTTTCCTTCGCTTTTACTCAGTTATAGGCTCATAGGACAACATGTTTTTTTTGGACTATCTTGTTTTTTATTCCCTGAATAAGAGTAAATTTCTGTCAAGTTTGACATTATTAGGCTTTAAACATGCCATTTTTTTCCAAACTTGACAGATTACTCTTATTTATGGAATAAAAAACATGATAGTCATATTTTGGAATATCAAAACGTTTACTCTTATTTAGGGCAATTTCTGGAAAAATTACGATGATGTTAAATAAACGATGAAAGATGTTTTTAGTCCTAGACAACCACTAGTTGAGATCAGACCAAAATTGGATATTTATAAAATACATAGAGACCAATTCTTTACCAAATCAGATCAGAAAAGACCAGACCAGCCAAGCAAATTTCAGTCCAAGTAAAACATTCTAAGTACATCAATTTGTACGAGGTGGAGTAAAGAGTACACTATATTGCATCTCATATTTCTATGTTCATAAACTTGAGTTTTTAGTGTTAATTGAGTATACTCGTTACATAAATAGTTGAGTTATCTAACATAATGCTGAGAAGAAGTGGAAGTCGACTAAGAGAAAGTTGACCAAGGTTTTGAAATCGACTTTTAGGAAGTCGACCTTAAATGGGAAGTAAACCAAGGTTTTAGCTTCGACTTCTAGAGGTCGGCCATCAGTGGCGTCGAGCTGCTTGGGTGCATTGTGTAACACCGTCCCCAAATATATTTACTTCTATGTAAATAATGTATTGAACCTTATTAAAGGATTAATGAATTTACGAAGTTGTAAATTTTTGTTATTTTCTTTCGCGTGAATAGTAAATTGCACGTGGGGCCCACATCGGGAGCGGGGACCACCCAACATTCCCGAGACCACATATTTTATTCATCTTGGTCAAGATAATATTTATATGGTGGTGGATATTTTACTTGGGTCGTGGAAAGGCCCTGTGTTGGCCGATTGGGCAAAAGAAGCCCAAATGCCGGTACCGACAATTTAACGGATAACAGCCCGAAAATGAATTTCGGAGACTTCTAAATTAATGTTTTGGAATACATATTATTTCAAAGGGCCATTACGATTGAGAACACATAATATATTTTATTGGACCCGATAAAATAAAATATATTTAAAACAGTCCGAAAAATACAATTTTCGGGACCGATTGTACACATCGGGACACAAAGGGATGACCTCCCACATGAGTGGGGGCCACCCCACGTTTTTTTGTGCTCAATTAGACAAAGGGGAGCTGGATATGATAAAGGAAGGTGTGGAGGAGGAGGCTTTGGCATCAAAGTACAAGGATGACCCCTCACCCATCACACATTTTGTCATTTGAGACAAAATAAACCACTCCCTCTCACCCCTATCACCAAGCTCGACCAAGACCTCAAGAAAAGAAGAGGAAAAGCTCTCAAAACCACCTCCATTGTTGCAGCACGAGCTCAAGAGAAATTGGTCCAAGGAAGGAGGTTTGAGAAGGAAAAAGTTAGGAAAAGTGTGAATAATTAAGGTAATGACCTTGTTATAACTTCTCCTTCATTCTTCTTTTACCATATGAGGTATATATCATGTAGACAACCTTTAGTATGGTTCCATATGTCACAAGTATGGATTCATGGGTTGAAAGGTGGCTCTACGTCCAAGAACGGACTTAGAAGCCAAAAACGACCGGTTCACCGGAAAATAACCTTTTATAGGTTATTTGTATTGATTAAGGTTTTATGATGTTAAAACCTTGTTAGGAACTTGTGAAAGGTATTTCAAGTGATTTCACAAAGTTGGAAAAGTCGCCGGAGTTGTCGCCGGAGTTGACCAAAAGTCACCGGAGTTTCACCGGAGTTCAACCAAGAAGGGTAGAACTTCTTAACGCTAGTTCAAGGTGAGTGGACGGCTTAATATCTTATAACTTTTGGGTTAATTATAAGATTACCTAAATAAATGTTATATGAATTCATAATGATGTTTAAAAGATATTTAAACATGTGATTAGCCAATAGGGTTAAGTTTGTATGAAAGAAATAGATTGTTTATGCATAGAATATGATATGAAGAATTATATAGAATGCATATTTGCTTGAAGTGTATTAGAAGCACAAATGAATATTTTAACTTAATTATGTGATGATTAAGTTGATTTGTACAAGGTTTGTAATGGCGGTCAACGACCACGTTGACCGGTGGATAATGGATTAATTAATACCGGTCGATATTAATTAATTGTACATTTACATAATTGCATGGCTTTGCATGGAATGTGATACATAAGTTTTATGTATTGAATTAGTTATGAATGACTAAATATGATATAGACCCTATCTAGCGTGATATGTGGTAAGTCATAGGTCGGGTGGAGTACCCAAGGATCGGGCGGTTATCCTCAAAACTCGGTTATATAGGGTGGAGTACCCAAGGATCGGGCGGTTATCCTCAAAACTCGGTTATATAGGGTGGAGTACCCAAGGATCGGGCGGTTATCCTCAAAACTCGGTTATATAGGGTGGAGTACCCAAGGATCGGGCGGTTATCCTCAAAACTCGGTTATATAGGGTGGAGTACCCAAGGATCGGGCGGTTATCCTCAAAACTCAATTATAGGGTGGAGTACCCAAGGATCGGGCGTGTATCCTCAAAACTCATAGATTACATTTAATGATCTAGGACCGGGCGGTGTCCTTATGATAATTTATTTGACCAAGGAGGAGTTCTATACACTCATAGGTATATGGGTGGGTTGGGATTTAAGTCAAGGATATTGACTACTATTATTTTCCCAAATAAACAATGACCTACGGGTCGGGTATTTCCAAGTGTATGTATACTAATATGTATTTCAGACTTGGGGGAAGGACTATACGTATATGTATCATCCTATGTTTGGGTCTTATACTTGAAACGCTAGTTATTCTATATTTAGCCTGCTACTCGCTCGGTACTTGTACTGACCCCTTCGGGGGGCCCCACCATTTTCAGGTTGAAGCTAGGGCTTGCTACCTGCACCTTTCTACGGGTGACATCAATCAAGGAAGACGTGGTTCGTGCTTCCTCATTTTATTTCAAATTACCAAACATTGCTCATGGATATTTTTATTGTCATAAACTATTCTTTTGGGGCTTGCATGCCCATGATATTGGCCGGTTGTGGCTTATGACTTACCGTTGAATATTTCCGCTATTCATTGGTTTAAATGTGATGTTGTTATGTATGTTTACCACTGAGTATGGATGGATTATTTTCTCGAACGCCTTGTGTAATCAAGTGAGGTTGACTCGCGGGTGACGTCACTTGATTATGCGGCGGTTGTACACGCGCTTGGATTGCGGTCTGGGGCGTGACAATTAAGTGGTATCAGAGCCATCTCAGTTCTAAACTATATAATCAACCTCTCACAACAGATTTTACAAAAGAGTTTTTACCGAAAACCATGAGCATTGTATTTTGACGTTTATAGGACTATTGGTGCTTAAGTTGCAAGGCCTCTAATTGTTAAGACGGTACCCTTAACAATTGGTATGGGGGTGACTTGGGCCAATATGTGTCTGTAACGTTTTTCCGTCGATTGACATTTATAGGAGTCTAATGACTCATCCATATTTCTTTCAGAAATGGAGGGCAGGCGAATGCGGACCAGGAACAATCCGAGGGGGCAGGCGCCGGTAACATCCCAAAGGGGAAGCCGGGCTGCATCTCGGGGTTCAAGAGGAGGCCGTGGAGGCCGTGGAAGCCGTGGAGGTCATCAAGCTCAAACTGTGAGTGATGGCCATGTAAGCTCGGTGTATGAAACCAACACCGAGGATTATGACTCTACGTATGTTCCTGAGACAGAGCATGAGGAGACCCCATATGATGGGGGTGACACATACACCGATGAGGACAATGATGAAAGTGATGCCCGCTTCGCCCAAATGGGTGAATTACTTGAGTGGTATCAAAAGGAGAAACTGAGGAGAGACCTTAGGCGCCAAGCGAGGCGTGGCTCTCGTGGTGGTTCGGGTCAAGGGAGCCGGGGAGCTTCCGTGGCCACCCCAGCGGCGTCACAAGGTGGGCGTGAAGGAGGTTTTGTTGTGAGAATCTCCAAGTACCTCAAGGAGGCTAGGGCCTTGGGGTGTAGGTCCTTTGACGGCACCGGTGACATTACCGTTGCCGCCGATTGGATTAAGAAGGTGAAGGATGCGTCAAGAGACATGCAAATCACACCGGACGTGAAGTTGACTGTCGCTTCACGGCTACTTGAAGGGATAGCCTCTACGTGGTGGGAGAGCGTGGAAGGGAAGTACCATGGGGAAATAACATGGGCGGACTTTGAGCTAGAGTTCTATGCTCAATACTACTCCGAGTACGAGGTGAATGTGAAACGGAGAGAGTACACTAACCTCAAACAGAAAGATGGCGGCACGGTTAAGCAGCTGGAACAAGAGTTTAGAACCTTGGCGAGGTTCTTGCCAGAGTACGCGGTTGATGAGAACCGCATGACGGAGCACTTCTGGGATGCATTACTCTTGGATATCCGTGACCGAGCTACGTACTCTCGCCACATGTCATTTAGCGAGGTGGTGGAACAGGGTCTTCTTGGAGAGGCCCAGTGGAATGAGAGGAAAGCAAGGGACGCCGAAGAGGCGAAGAAGAGGAAGTGGAATAATTCGGGGCCACCCGATCATTCTCGAAGGAACAACCACGGGGGTGGTGGTGGTGGCGGTGGTTCATTCAAGACGCCGGCTCCACCGGCAAAGAAGAATAGGGATGCGAGGTGGCACGGACCTAGGCCACAGAACTCGGGGCCACCTAGATGTCCCAATTGCTCAAAACAACACTTTGGGAAGTGTAATGAACCACCGAGGTGTTTTAAGTGCGGGAATGCGGGCCATATGAAGGCCAATTGCCCTCAATTGATGCAAGAGAGTGCCTCGGGAGCCGGGGGAGGGACCATGACGGGAAGAAACCGTGCGGGACCGTCAAACGGCGGTACTGGAAGAGGCGGTGCATCCACAAGCCATGCCGCATCTGTCAACCAAGGTGGGACCCAAGCACGAGTCTACGCGATGACCGAGGCGGATGCGCGAGCAAACCCGGACTCCGTTGCAGGTAATACATTTATTTTCCTGTATTTCTAGGCTTATTTGGGTCATATAAGTCATTGGGTTTGGGTGCGGGCCACCCCGGGGTCAAACCCCGCGAATTCGGGGCGAAACGGGCTAAAAACAACTACGCGCGATCGCGCGTACCCACAGACGCACGACCGTGCGTGCGAGGCAGTAGCCTCTGGCCTTATTCCGCGCAGACGCACGCCGTGCGTGCAGGTCAGGCACGCCGTGCGTGGGACGCACGATCGTGCGTGACCAGCTACACACGATCGTGCGTAGCCTGCAGTGGTGGATCTCCGATTTTCACCCAGGCACGCCGTGCGTGCCACCCAGGCACGCCGTGCGTGGACCCCCAACACCCGAAAATTGATTTTTTCGCCCCGTTCTTCTACGTTTGGACCCCCGTTTGATTCCAAACATTAGTGTGAACCTAATAACATCCTAATGATGTGTAAAAACCTTAGAAAATGTATCTTACATGATGTATAAATGTAGGAACATTAAAGATCAATGGTAGGTGTGCGAGGATCCTCATCGATACCGGGGCACAACGCTCATTTGTGAGCGAGGCGTTCGCCGAGGGCCTTGACGTGCCATTGACACCTATGACGCAAACGTTGCTAGTCTCCACACCGTTAGGAGACGATGTGGAGAGAAATCATTACTATCCATCATGTGAGGTGGAAGTGACGGGTCAACCCTTGACTTGTGATTTTGTATCTCTAAGCATGTTGGAGTTCGACGCAATCCTAGGAATGGATTGGCTCGAGAGACACCATGCTCGAGTAGATTGCTACACCAAGGTGTTGGAGCTCGAGGATGATCAAGGAAACACGGTATGTTTCGAGGGAGATCGAGGAAAATCCAATGCTTGCATCATATCCGTAATGAGAGCACGGAAGATGATGAGGAAGGGGTGCCACACATACCTTGCTTACGTGATGGATGATACGAAGAAAGAAGTCGACATCAAGGATGTTCGAGTCGTGTGCAAGTACCCGGACGTCTTTCCAAAGGACCTACCGGGGCTTCCACCCGATAGAGAGATTGAATTTGTAATCGAAGTGGAGCCGGGAACCAAACCCATTTCGATTCCTCCTTATCGAATGGCACCGGCCGAACTTCAAGAGTTGAAGGTCCAACTACAAGAGCTACTGGACAACGGGTTCATCAGACCCAGTCATTCACCGTGGGGAGCACCCGTACTCTTCGTAAAGAAGAAAGATGGTACGCTAAGAATGTGTATCGACTACCGACAGTTGAACAAGGTCACAATCAAGAACAGGTATCCTTTACCTAGGATTGATGACTTGTTTGATCAACTTCGAGGGGCCATAGTATTCTCGAAGATTGACTTGAGATCGGGGTATCATCAGTTGAAGATCAAGGAGAGTGACATACCTAAGAGTGCATTTCGCACTAGATATGGTCACTACGAGTTTCTTGTGATGTCATTTGGTTTAACCAATGCACCGGCAGCATTCATGGACTTGATGAACCGGGTGTTTAGTGAATACTTAGATCAATTTGTGATAGTATTCATTGATGATATCTTGATATACTCCAAGAGTGAGGAGGAGCACGAACATCATTTGAGGCTTATACTTGATCGGCTAAGGGAAAAGCAACTCTTTGCCAAGTTCTCTAAATGCGAATTTTGGCTCAAGGAGATTGGTTTTCTCGGTCACGTCATATCCGGTTCGGGCGTAGCTGTGGATAACGCCAAGATAAAGGCGATCATGGATTGGGAGAGACCCAGGAATGCGAAGGAGATACGTAGTTTCCTTGGCTTAGCAGGATACTATCGTAAATTTGTGGAAAAATTCTCCGTATTGGCGTCCCCATTAACGAAGCTCACAAAGAAAGGGGCCAAGTTCATATGGGACGACAAATGTGAGAAGGGGTTCCTTGAATTGAAGAAACGACTTACCGAAGCACCAGTCCTTGCCCTACCCATACAGGGGATAGGGTATGACATTTATAGCGACGCTAGCATCCAAGGGCTTGGGTGTGTACTGATGCAAAACGGTAAGGTGATTGCCTATGCTTCTAGGCAATTGAGGAAACACGAGGTGAACTACCCTACTCACGATCTAGAGTTGGGGGCGGTAGTGTTTGCATTGAAGATTTGGAGGCATTATCTCTACGGGGAGACGTGTCACATTTATACTGATCATAAGAGCCTGAAGTATGTATTCACTCAGAAAGAGTTGAATATGAGGCAGAGGAGATGGATGGAGTTGATCAAGGACTATGACTTGATCATCGACTATCATCCCGGAAAGGCCAATGTAGTGGCCGACGCACTGAGCAGGAAGAGTACGTCGGGGACGCTACTCACATGTCTACAGGCATTGAGGGCACACGTGGAGGTATCCACGAGCGGGGCGCTCATTGCTAGGTTTGAGGTCAGACCTACATTGCTGGGTGAGATCAGTAGATGTCAGGCCATTGACGAGGAGTGTCAGAAGATTCGTGAACGAATCATTGAGGGGCCTGTTGAGAACTTTCGGGTACGTGACGATGGTCTATTATTGTTTAAGGATCGTGTGTGCATACCAAAGAATGAAGACCTCCAGAAGTCTATACTCGAGGAGGCTCATTCTTCAGCCTATGCTATGCATCCAGGAGGTACTAAGATGTACCGGGACCTGAAGGAAAGTTACTGGTGGTCGGGTATGAAGAGAGACATCGCCGAGTATGTGAGTCGATGCCTTACTTGCCAGCAAGTTAAGGCAGAACATCAGCACCCGGCAGGGCTTTTGCAGCCACTCACCATCCCAGAGTGGAAGTGGGAGCACGTGACCATGGACTTCGTGGTGGGGCTACCACGAACAGTGAACAACTATGATGCAGTTTGGGTAGTGGTTGATAGACTCACCAAGAGTGCACACTTTTTGCCTATCAACATTACTTATCCTCTTGAAAGACTGGCCAAGCTCTACACGGAGGAGATTGTGAGATTACATGGAGTCCCGATATCCATTGTCTCGGATAGGGACCCACGATTCACATCTCGATTTTGGCCGAAGTTTCAAGCATCTTTGGGGACTAAACTGAAGTTTAGCACAGCTTTTCACCCACAGACGGATGGACAGTCCGAGCGGGTGATACAGATTTTGGAAGACATGCTTAGGGCATGTGCTTTGGAGTTCCAAGGAAGTTGGGACAAGCATTTGGCCCTAGTAGAGTTTGCCTATAACAACAGTTATCAGGCAAGTATCGGCATGCCCCCATATGAGGCATTGTATGGGAGGAAGTGCAGAACACCGTTGTGTTGGGACGAGGTTGGCGAGGCCAAACTCGAAGGGATAGAGCTGGTTGAGATCACCAAGGCCAAGGTAAGGATCATTCGGGATAGACTAAAAGCTGCTCAGGACCGGCAGAAGAGTTATGCTGATAAACGGCGGAGACCGTTGGAGTTCGAAGTCGGTGATGAGGTCTTCCTAAGAATTTCTCCTTGGAAGGGCATCATTCGATTTGTATCGAGGGGAAAGCTTAACCCCCGATACATCGGCCCATTTGAAATCCTTGAAAGGATAGGGGCCGTGGCTTACCGTCTCAAGTTGACACCGGAACTTGAGAAGATACATGACGTGTTTCATGTATCGATGCTCAAGAAGTACATACGAGACCCATCTCATATTCTTGAGAAACCACCGGTAGAGATCCGTGAGGACTTGCAATATGCGGTGGAACCAATGAAGATTGTTGGCCAACAAGTGAAGAAGCTGAGGAATAAGGAAATTCCTATGGTAAAGGTTCTTTGGAGGAGTGATCGAGTCGAAGAAGAAACTTGGGAGACCGAGGTCTCAATGAGGGAGCAATACCCATTTCTCTTCGATTAAGATACTTGGATTTCGGGGACGAAATCCCAATTAAGGGGGGGTGAACTTGTAACACCGTCCCCAAATATATTTACTTCTATGTAAATAATGTATTGAACCTTATTAAAGGATTAATGAATTTACGAAGTTGTAAATTTTTGTTATTTTCTTTCGCGTGAATAGTAAATTGCACGTGGGGCCCACATCGGGAGCGGGGACCACCCAACATTCCCGAGACCACATATTTTATTCATCTTGGTCAAGATAATATTTATATGGTGGTGGATATTTTACTTGGGTCGTGGAAAGGCCCTGTGTTGGCCGATTGGGCAAAAGAAGCCCAAATGCCGGTACCGACAATTTAACGGATAACAGCCCGAAAATGAATTTCGGAGACTTCTAAATTAATGTTTTGGAATACATATTATTTCAAAGGGCCATTACGATTGAGAACACATAATATATTTTATTGGACCCGATAAAATAAAATATATTT